GGAAGAGTGCAGATAATAAATAGCAAAAACTGTATTTAGATGTGCATACACCAGAGCTCCAGCTCACATATACAAGATCGAATCATTCTCTTAAGAGAAGAGAAAGGCTTGACCCCATGAGTCAGCCAATGTGTATAAGTGAAATACAGCTTTGAGCTGAGCTATCTTTTCATTTTTTGTCTATGCAAACCTTTTAAAGCTATGTGCTGCACTATGGCAATGGTACTGTAGCTAGATCAGTACAGTCAAGAGGTACAAAGGGCTTTAGAACTCCTTACTGTCTAAGTTTGATTTTAATATGTATATGACATGCTTTTTATGTCCTTGTTAAATTTGCTGTTGAAAATAAAAGGCCAGCCAGTATTTAAGAGTAGTCATGTGATACAGAACTGAAATTTAAGTTTACTGGTCCTTGACATACTCTGATATTACACAGAAATAATAGTAAATGTAGGAATTTTTGCATTCAGCAATGAACCTGTGGTTGCCAGTTAAGGCTGCACATTAAAAAGGATTATACTGGACATGATTAAAAATGAAAAGAAAAAAAAAAATACACACCAAGGCTACATAAGTAATACAAATAATTTTTGTAATTACAGCAAAATGTGTGCTATGCAAAAATGTTCATCATTGAACACACTACTGTCTGGGTATTAGTATGCCAAAATCTGACAGATGGAACCATAGAATCAGAAGAGACTGGGAATTAAATGGAGCCCTGATGTATGGTCTATCCTTATGTATAGGAACAATTTTTCCTGCAACTGCTGCTACAAAATGCAAGCTTGGTAATACTGCTGGAACCAGGCAAAGAATACACACAATCCACAGTGATCCTTGCTTTATTCTTTTTTTCTAATTAAAGCAGCAGAGTGGAGACCATACTAGAACATAAGCTCCTAGACAGACATCCTGGGCAGGACTGAAAGGCTTCTAGTCAGAAACGATCCTAGACTTGTCTTTTTTTCATCAATATTTACCATAAAAACATTTAAATTCTAAACCATATTAAAAGTTCTCACTTCTAGATACAGTCACCAGTGGTGTTATAGTCTATACCACAGGTGTCAAACTGGCAGCCCTCCAGCTGTTGCCAAACTACAAGTCCTATGAGGCATTGCAAGATTGACAATTACAAAGGCATGACTCCCAAAGGCAGAGGCATGATGGGACTTGTAGTTTCATATACAGCTGGAGGGCCACCAGTTTGACACCCCTGGTCTATATAATGAAGATATCTTGATTGATATCGCTTGCAAATGGGGAAAATCAATAGCGCACCATTAATCTGCAGTGCAAAATGTGAACCTTTTTTTTTACCTATTCTGGGAGATTATACAAAGATCTCAGCATATGCAAGCATGTCAATTATTAGCTTCCATGAAGTCTGTCTACCTAATGTTACCGATAATGGTCAGAACAAGGAACATCTCTGCTGAAGTTTATCATGTGACAAATTCAGGTGCATTGGGCCACTCGTTTTGTTACTAATGAACACTGTTGTATGGTGCAGACTGTACCACTTTTAACTATGAGTGATTAGGAAATTAAGTGCCACACTAATATGTTCAAGTACAAACCCAAGTGTATTGCAAAGATTAAATATTGCAAAGCAAATGCTTTCCAAGGGCTGTATCTCTTTCCCTTCATCATGGCTATTCAAAAATGAAACATGTAACCACAAAATTCAATCTACAGTTGATTATTGTTGCTATGAGTTTGCACATTGATTCATCAGTAGCTCATTTCAAGCAGCAACTCTTAATTACTCATCCCTGCCACAACCCATGGTGAACATGGAAGGCCTACAGTGTGTAGAAGCTGCCAGCTTGATACTCAGCATCTACATTTAGGCCTCATTCACACTGGGTGCATCAAAACACACCTTGTGCAGGGGCCACGTTCCATGCAACCCCATGCAGAGATGGCTATTGGGATGCAACAGCTGAACAGGACAATTTAAAATCCATACGAATGCGTGCTCCTGAACTCACACTGATTGCATTTGGGGCTGTGCACCGACACCTGCATACATGTCAAATTAAGAACAGCAGTTGTGTCTGTGCAGCCATTGCATCCCAATAGACATCAATAAGACTGCCTGCTATTAAAATAGCAAAGCATTACTTATTGGTATGGGGAAAGCTGTGTAAAAATGCCGCGCGCAGCATATTTTTGAAAATATAATCTCTTAACATGCTTATCTAACAGCATATTGGAAGATCTAGACCTTTTAATAAAACGAAAATGTTTTTAAAATGTGGTGATAGTGAAAAAGATTTCACAATGTTAGTACCTCTCTGATATCACCTTGATGTCTCATTTTAAAAAAATTGCCCAGTTTATATTCGTTGTACATGAATATAATATAATGCTTCTATGGCAGCATTTGCTTTGCATTAAACCCTTTCCTTCTTTTATTTTCACCTTGTGATCTAGCCAGTAAGTCTGTTATTTTCCAAAAGAATAAGCTCTCCTGCAGACATAACAGAGAAGTAAGACAAACCATTTACCCTTGACAGGGATACTTACATTGAAAATGTAAAGCCTATATCCTAAAAAAAAAAAAAAAAAAAAAAAAAACTGTTGCTGAAACTGCGTGTGAGCTGGAGTTTGGCTTCGATTTCTTAGTAAATCTACACTCACCAGCCATTTTATTAGGTACACCTTGCTAGTACCAGGTTGGACCCCTTTTTGCCTTCAGAACTGCCATAAAGGCATAGATTCAACAATGTGTTGGAAACATTGCTCAGAGATTTTGGTCCATATTGACATGAGTGGCATCATGCAATTGCTGCAGATTTGTCGGCTGCATATCCATGATGCGAATCTCCCGTTCCACCACATCCCAAAGGTGCTCTGTTGGATTGAGATCTGGTAACTGTGGAGGCCATTGGAGTACAGCTTGATCTTTGTGATATGGTACAATATCCTGCTGGAAGTAGCCATCAGAAGATGGGTACACTGTAGTCATAAAGGGATGGACATGGTCAGCAACAATACTCAGGTAGTCTGTGGCATTTAAATGATGCTCATTTGGTATTAATGGGCCCAAAACGTGCCAAGAAAATATTCCCCACACCATTACACCGCCACCACTAGCCTGAACCATTGATACAAGGCAGGATGGATCCATGCTTTCAAATTCTGACCCTACCATCTGAATGTCACAGCTGAAATCAAGACTCATCAGACCAGGCAAAGTTTTTCCAATCTTCTATTGTCCAATTTTGGTGAGTCTGTGCAAATTGCAGCCTCTGATTCCTGGTCTTCTGCTGCTGCAGCTCATCTGCCTGACAGGTCTGACATATTGTGCGTTCAGAGATGGTATTCTGCATACCTTGGCTGTAATGACTGGTTATTTGAGTTACTGTTGCCTTTCTATCATCTTGAAGCAGTCTGCCCATTCTCCTCTGATCTCAACAAGGCATTTTCATCCACACAACTGCAGCTCACTGGATATTTTCTGTTTTTGGACCATTCTCTGTAAACCCTAGAGATGGTTGTGCGTGAAAATCCCAGTAGATCAGCAGTTTTTGAAATAATCAGACCAGCCCGCCTGGCACCAAAAAACATGCCACATTCAAAGTCACTTAAATCCTGTCTTCCCCATTCTGATGCTCAGTTAGCAAGTCATCTTCACCATGCCTAGATGCATTGAGTTGCTGCCATGTGATTGGCTGACTAGCAATTTGTGTTACCAAGCAACTGAACAAGTGTATCTAATAAAGAGGCCGGTGAGTGTAAATCCACTGGGATACCTAATACTTCTCCTCCCCCGCAGATTAACAATGCTGCTATGCAAAAGTGCCCCTGTGCTCCTTCATCCAGAGTGTAGGCACTCTAGTACAGAGGGTGTGTTACTGGCCAGATCATCAGGTGAAAACAGAGGGGGGGAAAAAAAAGCATAAAAACAGAAAACTAAGCTACACGTCTAATCACTGGTAAACTGCAATTATACATATATTACACATTTTTGGTTTTGGGTTTAAATAACACTTGAAGTCAAACTTTGGCATACATTGGTCTGTGGACATTAAGCCTTACCTTTTTCTTCCCCCAGACAGTCTTCTTTCATGAAGTGACTACACTGAAATGTCATATTTTGGTATACATCAAGTTCTTTATTCCATTAAAAACAGTAACTTGCTGTGTGGTTGTGTGAATGTAGCCTAAGAGAGGATTTCCCTCACATTAGAGACATTTCCTTCCATTTCCTACTGTATTTATAGGATAAAAATTGAAAAAAAACCTCTCCAACTGGACACAGCAAAAAATTAAAAAAAAAAAAAAAAAAAATCTTACAGGGATTTAAATACCCTTCCCTATTCTATCCAAAATGCCAAATGATAAAAAAAAAAGTTTTGGCTTTAAAAATACAGTACTGGTTCTATCTGCACAAATCTATGTGCAATAGCGCACCAATGGAGATGGCACCTGCAGCACAAAACGTGAATGTTTATTGAAGATGCTATTCTAATACAGCGCTAAAATTCCGTTGCACTCACTTTCCCCATAGCTTAGTGAATGTGGTGAAGCTTCACTTTGTAAAAAAATACCCAATCACGTTCAAGGAAAATTAAAAAAAAAAATGAATTTTTGATTGCACATGACTGGATGATGGAAATCAGCAGAGCTTCACCACATTTACTAAGCTCTGGGGAAAGTGAGTGCAACTGTATTTGCAAGTGCACAGTCTATTTGCATTTAGTAAATCAATCCTGTTGGGTTTTAAAATTGCCATTATTTACTACAGGAAATATTTTGTTAATATTTATTTAAACAAAGTCTGGCATATATTAAAAACTTCAACACAAGGGTAGCTTTCTTTTCCTGATGGATACCTACACTGACACCAGACACCATCCTTAGAGACTCTTATGCAAGACATGCTAGCAACAAACACACTGTGAATGCTTACAACAGTCTGTAAGCACAGAACTATATATACAACAATTATATATGGATCACCTAGAAAAAAAAAAAAAAAAAGTTACCGTTTCCATTGGTTGCAGGTTCTGAGCTTTCCCAACCCATTGATTTCATAACTGCCTTTTTCCATCGAGCATAGCGATATTCGCTTTCTGAAACAGAACATTTAGAGAGATCATTAAGAGTTTTGTCAGCATTCTTGCAAAGACAGCAAAAACTGTCTGGGCTCTTCACCTTCTGGGTTAATCTGTGGCTCAAAGCGTTCACAAGTCACTGCAGTCAAGTCACTGGGGTTAAGACTCCAGACACCCACTCCTTCAGCAGCTCCTGCAGCCATGGCAGCTCCTAATGCGGTTGTTTCAGGCATTGAAGGTTTTACTGAGGAAAAAAAAAAATGACTCTCACATCATCTACACTTATAGACAGCGAGAACTGCTTTTTTTCTGCTATTTTCTGCTTTTTTTTTAAGACTTCTATAAAAAAATGTCACTTTTAAAGCCTAAGACATTAATATTTAATATAAGGCAAGTATACCGCTGAATTCTATAAAAATCTCTGTCCACAAAGCTATCTGACTGCAGAATGGAATATTAGGCTGGGCTTGGAATAGCGATTTAGTGAGTAAATGAAGGGCAGCAGCGTTAGGTATCAACACCTCTCCCGTTTCCCCTATTAAATCTGAAGTATAGAAAAGTAGACTTTCCATTCATAATGTATGGGCATTACTGGGAGATGTAACAAACACTGTGTGCATCTGACTTTCCGAGACTCAAGGCCCTGTCCAGTGAGAGTGCCCTTACTGGCCACTATGTCAGTCACAATGGACAGTGAAATCAGAGTTGGCAAGGTTTAGCCTGAAGTCAGGGAGGGTCAGGCTCCAGTAACATAGTCAGCATTTATAAAATGAATAGAAGGCATCATGTGGTGTCTATAATGAAGTATGTCCTATGTCTTGCAGGCAGCTGGATCCTGTAAAAATCTTCACTGCAGGAATGCCTGTCCTCTTCGTCTCTTTGAGCTTTTGGAGCTACAATAGTTACCATCTTCGGGTAGAACAGCAGTAAGGATGGTCTGATGGAGACACGCCCCCTCCTCCTCCACTAAGAAAAATGATTTCATCGATTACACTGCTTATAACACAATCTCTAAATGGAAGAATCTGATCATGTTACAAGCAGTGAAACCAATGACAGAACTTTTCTCAATAAAGGAGATGGCAGAAGGGGGCGTGACTCTGTGAGACCATCAGTACTGCTGTTCTGCTTGCTGCTCTGAAGCTGTTAACCAGTGCACTGCTGAAAGTTCAGAGATAAGAAGAGGACAAGCATCCCTGCAGTGAAGATTTCCTTAGGATCCAGCTGCCTGAACAATGTAGAACATACTTCATTACAAGGCAAGTGACTAAAGCTGTAAGGATTTTTTTTTTTTTAACTGCTTGGCGTCCAGCCACTGTAGAAAAACGGCCACAAGGTGGCACCGCTGGGCAAAATCACGTTTTAAAACGTGATATTGCAAAACAGGTAGGGGGCACGGACGATCGTGGTCGCAGGTGTCAATCACTGGGTCCCGGCCGGTCATTACCCGCCGCGTCCCGGCGATTGCCGGCAAACAGTGACACAGAGCACAGCTGTATTGTTTACATTGCAGCTCTGCTCCCTGTCAGTTCCTAACACACTGATCCCGAGAGAGGAGTTTATCTCTCGGGATCAGTGTGTTCCTGTGAAGCACACACCCCCACCCCCTAGTAAAACACTGCCCTCACACAGTTAACCCTTTAATTGCCTAAAAAAAAGTTAACTCCTTCCTCCCCAGTGCCATTAGTACAGTGTCAGTGTTTTTTTTTGCACTGATCACTGTATTGTTGTCACTGGGGATGTCAGTTCCCCCCCAGTGTCAAAATGTCCTTTGCAGTCCTGCCATAAGTCGCTGATCACGGTCATAAATCGCTGATAACCGCCATAAGTCGCTGATCGCCGCCATTATTAGTATATAAAAAAATCCCAGTATCTCTCCTGCCATTTGTAGACGCTATAACGTTCTCGTAAACCAATTAATTTACACGTATTGGGATTTTTTTTTTTAGCAAAGACATGTCGCAGAATATATTTTAGCCGAAATTTATGACGAAATTTGATTTTTCCATTTTTTTACTGGACATGTTTTATAGCAAAAAGTCCAAAATATTGTTTTTTTCTTCTCATAATTGTCAGCCTTTTTTTTTATAGCGCAAAAAATAAAAAAAATGCACAGGCGATCAAATACCACCAAAAGAAAGCTCAATTCGTGGGGAAAAAAAAGGACGTAAATTTAATTTGGGTGCAGTGTTGCATGACCGCGCATTTGTCAGTTAAAGTAATCCATCAACGGAACACAAACCGCTTCTGTAGCCGCTTCCTGACCGCCCTATAGTAGAAATACTGCTACAGGGCGGAATGGGTGCGCAAAATCACATATGTATACATGATTCACGCTCCCGTGGTTTTCACGCCCCTCCCAGATAGCATCAGATTGCCCGCCAGTACACCAGTCATCACATTTAACCCCTTGATTGCCAGGAGCACGCTCATGCACAATAAACCTCCATTGCTAGTATAGTGTCTGAACGGGTCAATATTTTTGATCAGATCAGCACTATACCAGTGTTAACAATAGTATAGCGTCCCCAAAAATGCAGCGTTAGCGGGATCAGCCCCAGCACCTGCGTTTAGCCCCTACGCTTACCCCCCCCCCTTCTCCCCCAGCAAGTGCAGTGTCAGTAGGTCATTGTCGTCACTTGATACATTGCACACAAAACCGCAGTGTTGGCAGAATCAGGCCTGATCTCTGTTAGCACTTGCCGGTAAATTTTGATGACTCTCATATGCAGCAGAGTGCCAGTACTAGTGCCGCTCTACCTTTTGGTGAACTGGCGAGTACCAGCGGTCTAGTACATCTTGGTCTTTCACATACCTCCTTGATTTTTGGAGCTGTTTTTCACGGAATATCTGTATGCGTTGATTGTGGGTCAAAGCAATTTATATGCACAACAATTTATCGCCACCAACCCAAATTCAAACCTTGCCAGACGAGTTGCATGGAAACTCATTAGGGTTTCCGAATTTACATTTTTTGGGGGCCTAACCCTCAACATGGGCATTACTAAAAGAAAAATGAATTGCGGTTGTATTGGTCTGCAGACACGATTCATCATATGCCGTGTTCTCTGCTGCCATGACCAGGCATAGATATGAGAGTATAATGTTTTTTATGCATTTCAACGACAATACACTCAGTCGTCCTCGGGGTGACCCTGAATTTGACTGGCTCCACAAAATTCAGCCCCTCACAAATCACCTTAAGCAAAAATTTGCAGATGTCTATACTCCCCAGCAAAAAATCTGCATTGATGAGTCCCTCATTAATTTTTCTGGCCGCCTTGCATTCAAACAATTTCTCCCCTGCAAGCGTGCCAGATATGGGGTCAAGATATAGAAGACCTGTGAGAGAGCAACAGGCTATACTTATAAGTTTTGGATTTTCGAGGGAAAATACAGTCACGTGGAGCCCCCCAGATGCCCAGACTACATGGGGAGCAGTGGCAAGATAGTTTGGGACTTGGTGTCATCCTTTTTCCATATGGAGTACCACTTATACATGGACCATTTTTATGCAAGCGTGCCACTATTTAGACATTTGTACAATCTTGGAACTGGCGAATGTGGCAAAGTGTGACCTAATGTGTGCCCACCATTAGAAGTGGGTGGATGCAGGGCGGTATATTCTAATGGTGGGCATACCACACACTTTTTCTGCCAGAGATTTCTTCTCTTTTTTTTCATTCAGTCCACAGCTTGCATACAAAAAAAAAAAAAAAAAAAGAACATAGTATATACACCCAACAAGGACCTGCAACGTACTGGTACATCACTGGACTTTGAATGGTTATAACAGGATGATGCCTACAGCTGCAGGCATCATCCTGGTATCGTTTTTTTCAGCCGGCGTTCGGCTTTCATTTAAAAGCAATCCTAGTGGCTACTTAGCTGCAGGATTGATTTTACAAGCAGCGGGATATGATTCCCCCCTCCCCCGCTGCCTTCCACGGCCTTCTCGGGCAGTCCCATGCCATCGGGGGAACCTGAGAATGCAGCTGGTGTTTCTGCCAGCTGACCATAGAGCTGATTGGAGACCAGAGTGGTGCCGATCATCTCTATAGTCTAAGAATTTGGAAGCTACGAGCATTTCATCACTTCAGTTTTGCAGGATATAAACAGAGCCATTTGTAAATTGGGAAAGCATCTGATCACACCGATTTTGGTTTGATTAGATAATGTAAGGGCAGAGCAGATATCTAGAGCTTGATAGACCCCAGATTTCTCAAAAAAGAATATATGACAATGCCCATTGAAGTTATAGGGGATATTTGCATTCCCTGTGATAGCATTAAAAGTGATAAAAAAAAAAATGAAAGGTAAAGTGTAAAAATAATAAAAAAGAAATCAAAATAACACCTGTGTGCACAAGCATTGACCCTGTGCCGGTATGTAAACAGCGGTTGCACCATACATGAGGCATCACCGTGAACGTCAGATCAAGGGCAGTAATTCTAACACTAGAGCTCCTCTGTAAATCTAAAATGGTAGCTTTTAAAGGCTTTTAAAGTGTTGCCTATGGATATTAAAAATGTATGCAGTTTGCCGCCATTGCACGGGGCATGCACAGTTTTAAAGCATGTCATGTTTGGTATCTATTTACTCAGCCTACCATCATATTTTATATCTTACCAAATAATTGGCCAATATATTGTGTTTTTGTGTAATAAAAAGTAAAAAAAAAAAGTGTATTTTTTTTTTTTAAAATTGCTTTTGAAAAATCGCTGCCCGGGTACTATGTGCCATTCAAAATTGTAGTACCCACTACTTTATTCACTAGGGTGTCTGCTTTAAAAAAAATATATAAATGTTTGGGGGTTTAAATTAATTTCCTAGCAAAAAATACTGATTTGTTTTTCATGTGAACAAAAAGTGTCAGAAAAAGCTTGATCTTCAGGTGATTAGAAGAGTGAGTGATGTGTGGCATAAACTTCTAATGCTAGGCATAAAATGCCCCCACCCCCCAAAACGACCCCTTTTTCAAAAGTAGACACCCCAAACTATTTGCGGAGAGGCATATTGAATCAATAGAAGAATTTATTTTTTTACCACAAGTTTTTGGAAAATGACAAAATTATTATTTTTTTTTTTTTATTACACAAAATAGTCACTTAAATGATTTACTGCTCGCACATGCCATGGGTATATGTGGAATGACTCCCCAAAATACATTCTGCTACTTCTCCTGAGTATGGGGGGTACCACATGTGAGAGACATTTTGGTAGCCTAGCCAAGCACAGGACCCCAAAATCCAATGAGCACCTTCAGGCTTTTAAAGGACTTTATTTCCTCATTAGACTTCCAGACTACCTATCAAAGTTTCAGAGGCCCTGAAATGCCAGGATAGCACCTAATCCCCCCAAATGACCCCTTTTTGAAAAGTAGACACCCCAAGGAATTTGAGAAGAAGCATGGTAAGTATTTTGCAGATCTCATTTGTTGCCACAAGTTTTTTGGTGACCATTTGTGGACTGCAGTCATCAAGACATTCCACAGATTTTCAGTGGGGTTTAAGTCTGGCCTCTGACTAGGCCATCCACCCTTATCTCCTTTAACCATGGTGTGGTCATTTTTGCTGTGTGCTTTGGGTCATTGTCATGTTGGAAGGTAAGCCTTCTTCTCATTGACAACTTTCTGGCAGAGGACAGCAGATTTTCCTCAAGCATTTACGGTATTTTGCTGCATACATTTTTCATTCTATCCTGACAAGTGGTCCAGTCCCTGCTGCAGAGAACCCCCTCCCTCCCATAACAGTATATTACCACCTCCATGCTTCACTGTAGGAATGGTGTTATTTGGATGGTGAGCTGTACTGCATTTCCAACAGACATATCGTTTAGTGTTGATGCCAAATAACTCAATTTTAGTCTCATCTGACCAGAACACCTCTTCCATGTGGTCTCAGAATCTTCAAGGTGTGTTTTGGCAAAGCTCAGTGGTGACTGCATGTGGCCTTTCTTGACGAGTGACTTTTTTCTTGCAACCCTCCCATACAAGCCACAATTGTGGAGAATATGTGTTATTGTTGTCAAATTCACACAATGACCACTCTTTGTCATAAGAATGCTTCAGAGTTGCTGTAGGTCTCTTGGCAGGTCAGTGGTCTCTAACCGGTTTCCTCCTGGCTCTTTCATCCAGTTTGGAGTGACATCCTGATCCAGGGAGGGTCTATGTTGTACCAAATAATTTCCCCTTCTTAATAATAGACTTCATATGTGCTTCTAAGCATTGAGAAAGCATATGACTTTTTTTTGTATATATTTCCCAACTTGTGCCTGTCCACAACTTAATCACAGAGATCTTTCGACAGTGCCTTGCCACCCATAGTTGATTGTTTCAGTTGCACTATCAGGGACTGAAATGCTCCAGGAAAGCTCTTTTCATGCTGTGCTGATCAAAATGACCACAGCTGAACATAGTTGAAAGTCAAATGGCTTTTTGTGCCATTGAGAAGGTGATTAGCTTTACTCTGAGTTTACAAGTATTTCTTATATGTTTCACTTGGATGTTATAAGTTGCACTGAGTAAATACAGCTGGATAAAAAAAAAAACCCATGTCTGTCTTCATTCCAGACTGCAAACCAACAAAATGTGCTTATTTTAAAAAGGGGGGTGATTCTTTTCTATACCCACTGTAGTTCATGTTTATCCTCAGTCATGAAAAGGATTCACAGTCACAATCTGAGGTCATCGAAAGTGACTGCACACTGCCAGCACATAGCCTCCCATATAGGTATGCATGAGAAACAACATACCTATTTGGGTACAACACTTCTTTATAAACAGCCTTATGTCATAAAGGAGGAAATACAATAAATACATGAACTGTGATTATATAAATAATGGGTCTATAACAATTATAAGGTAGCTGTCGAAAGCTTTTTACCCCTCCAAGTATTATGAGGCTTATTTTTACTAATATCATATGTACTAAAAGCAATGAAGCAAAAAGGGTGTTTTTTTTAAAACCTATTCCTCTAAATCCTTTTAAAACTCAGATGATTACATTTAGTGTGATATGCTGAAAAAGTAATACTGCTAAAACACTCAAAACACATTTCCTTCTACTACCACCACTGCCAATTACCAACCTAATTAAATGAAAAAGCCATAAGTAATAGATAAATACACATACAGAGCACAAACACTGAATTGCTTACCCACAGGGATGCATAGGATATCAGCCTGTAACTGCATAAGGATCTTATTGTTAGTCATGCCCCCATCAACTTGTAGCTGGCTTAAAGGAATTCCATAGTCTTGGTTCATTGCATCTAGAATCTGATATGAAAGAATAAAAAAGGGAGTGCTGAGGCTTTAAGACAAACACACTGGTATTGGCAAGTAGAACTACTGCTTGGGTTAAAGAGGTTAGCTGCAGTTTTTGCATTTTGTTCTCATTAAAACTCTGTAAATAATATCCTAGTTGGACTTAAAGTGTACTTTCCATAAAAGCAATCTACCCGAACTAAGATCTAAAAGAAAACCCTCACCACCAACTACTTACTCAAGTTATGGCTTCCTCTGATAGCCTTCCTCAAGTAGTGGCTCTTTTTATATCTCCCAGCTGTGATCTTGTTCAGCAAAGGCTTTACAAATGCAGGAAGTCCTTATAGACTTCGGTTGTCTCCCAAAACTGGAGAAGCTTGGTAGATGGCCCTATACAATTCTGGGAGTTACAGCCAGTGCTGAAGAGGACTGCAGCCAGAGGATGAAAGTAATACCATAGCTCGGGGCAGGCTATAGGTATAGTAGAGGTTGGTTAAGCTGGAGATGGTTAGTTCATGTACTTTCACAAATACAAAAGTGAAAGGTAATTCTGTAGCTAGATTTGAAAAAAAATGTTAAACTAAACTAAGCTTGCAGGGTGCACTTTTTTAATGTAACAACCGGGTTACTTTATGTACATCTGTTTACTATTTACCTGTCAAAAAAAAAAAAAAATAGCATTTAAGCTGAACCAGGAAGAAGCAACGTAATTTACCTGGCTGTGCAGTGTGGCAGATGTGTGCAAATTATACGACTACAAAAAACCTTTGTACAAACAAAAAATGAAAAATCCTTAAAAAAGGACATATTAGTATGTCAGCTTTGTATTTATCTGTCGATTGGAGTTGAATTTGTAAGCTCTAAAAAGCAGGGCCCTCCAGTTCCTGTTGTTTTAAAAATTGTATTGTAATTGTTCTGTCTGCCCTCATGTTGTAAAAAGCTGTGAAAATTGTTGGCGCTATATAAATCCTAACTAATAAGAATAATTATATTTATTATTATTATTATTATTATTATTATTATTATTATTATTAAAACAACGGAAGTAATTGAGTAAAAAAGTGGAATATTAACACTCTAATATTGACACTTAGCAATCTAAGGGGGAAGGGGTGCCCTTAAACTTTTGGCTCTGTTTCTGGCTGCACACCTATAGCGTACTATGGATTGGTAAATGCTCTTTCACAAAATATTTACCCAGTTGCATGATCTATTCTATTTTTTTAGTTCTTACAATATTGATATTGAAAAATGTTGAATTGGTATTGATGTGTCTTATACAGTACCATAACGCTATATAACTAAGGAATTTTTTTTTTTTTTCTTATCCTTTTTTTTTTTTTTGCAACCAAATTCTTTATTTTGTTTGTTACAGCCAATACTTCCCTACATAAAAATAAAAAGCTGCTACTTGGACCTTATGCAATAAATCTTCAAGTATTCAAGGTAATGGAAGCCAAGCTAGGCGTTTCACAGTTAGTGTTCCACAATCTCTCACAGAATTGAGCAATTGGAATTATGTGCCAGGAAAAAGTTAACTTTTTCTTTTTTTTTTTGGCCATACCAGATATTTAGCTTGGAAAGTGAAGTTTTTCCAATCCTTTTTTCAATCCTAAAATAGTTCCACAGTCTCCACATCATATTCCTCAAATCACCAGAAATTTCCCCCATCTTCTAAAAATCGATGAGGTATTGCTGGCATTTGAAAATAAACCTTGCTGGATTTGAGACACCTTATAGAGGATGAAAAGCTACGTGGGTTTCAGTGTGTGAGGAAGAAGGAATACTGTTAAGAGGGCATGTAAGGCCTTTCTCCACCGGTATAGAGACAATGGACCCAAATCCACCTGCCATTTCAACCTACAGGGCAGACCATGCCTCAAAAGAAGAAAGAGTACCAAAAATGAAAATCAGCTTTACAAACAAAGCATAATACCTAAACAGTTAGCACAAATTAGGGGAGCAGTCTTAAATGTGAAATGAAAGTGTATCTGCCCATACAAGATTACACCCTGCAAAAACTGTTAAATAGGGTGCAGCCAACCACCCTGTCAATCAGGGTCCATCTCTCATAGTCTACATACCTCAGTGTATATCATTGTCTTTCAGTTTCAGCAAGCTTTAATTTTTGTGTATTATTAGGAATTGCACACTCTGCATTAACTTTCAAAAGAAACAGGTGTACCTCGGTTTACAAACGCCTCAGTTAATGTAATTTTCAGTTTACGAATGAAAATCCATTGACAATAATGCCTTGGTTTACAAATTTTTTTCGCAATAGGAAGTGTATGTCGGTGCCGATTTTTAAATGCAATTGCCGGATTTTTTTTTCCTTCACTATAGCTCACAGAATTAGCTGTCACTTTCCCCAGAGTTACAGGAAGTTTTGTTTCTTTTAAGATACTAAATGGGAACATTGTTTCTTGTAACTTGGGGAAATAAACTAAAAGGAAACGTTCTTTCTTTTAGCTGGGGGGAAAGTGACAGCTGAATCTGAGCTATACTGAAGAAAAAAAAAAAAATCACGATGCCCGCCGCCGCCAACCGGAACAAAACAATACAAAAAAAAGGCTCCGCTTCAGACAATGGTTCTCGCCATCTGCCTGCTCCGTGGTTTGACAGTTCTTAAATAGGTAAGGGGCGGGGCCACCTGAGGACATAACGCATGCGATCCCACCCCAGGTGACATCAATGATGTCACATGAGGCAGGGTCACTCAGGTCATGTCCCCGAGTGGCCCCACCCCTTACATATTTAAGAACTGTCAAACCACCGGAGCAGACAGACGTTAGAAGCTGAGCCCTTTTTTTTTTAATTCTTTTTTAGGGTCGGCGGCGGACATAGTGATTGATGTTGGATCTACTGCAGGGGACATTCTTTTAGTTTTTTTTCTTTTAATAAAGGACTTGTCAAAGACCGTGTCTTGTCTTTTTTCACACTACACTTTTTGCTTTTTATGAATGAGTATCGGGACCATGTCCCCCATACTCATTCACATCGCGGGGAGGGGGGCGGGTTCTGGGGGCCCCCTTGTTAAAGGGAGCTTCCAGATTCCTATAAGCCCCCTGCCCGCAGACCACCACAACCACCGGCCAGGGTTGTGGGGAAGAGTTCCTTGTCCCCAGCAACATGGGGACAAGGTGCTTTGGGGGGAGGGAGGGGAGACCCCCTGCCCCAAAGCACCCCCCCCCCATGTTGCAGGCATGTGGCCTGGTATGGTTCAGGAGGGGGGGGGGGGCACTCGCTTGTCCACCCCCTTTCCTGACCTGCAGGGCTGCATGCTCGGATAAGGGTCTGGTATGGATTTTGGGGGAAACCCCTCACGGCATTTTTTTTTTTATTTTGGCGTGGGAGTTCCCCTCAAAGTCAGTACCAGACCCGAATGCCTTGGTATGGATGGGAGGGGTGACTCCACGCCGTTTACTTGTTTAATCGCCAGCAATTCTTTTACATTCATCTGTCAGTGAGTTAGCCCGTTGACAACTGAAACATTAACACATGGTTGTCACTACTAAAATACCGCATGACTTGATAAAATAACTCATGCGGTATTTTAGTAGCGTTTACTTTTTTCTGACCTCAGGAACGGATTAATTGGTTTTCAATGCATTCTTTTGGGAAATGGTGTTTTGGTTTATGAATTTTTCGCTATATGAAGAGTCCCACAGAACTAATTAAATTTGTAAACCGAGATATGCCTATATTTGCATTCAATGTACGGTTTTGTGACTTTTTACAAATACACTGAAAGAGAGGCTTGCATATACAAATGGTGACAGAAACTCTGAATGCTTATATCCTTAAATCAGAGTGTTTTTTATCTCATATATGGTCAAATGTATTACTCACTTTCTCAGATACATTAAATTAATACATATCACATCCAGGAAAACTGATTTATGTGGGAGCTGCCCAAAAAACTGTGGCCTTTGTAGTTGCCAATTTCCCCAAAAAATGTAGTCACGACGTGTATCCTGGTGTGCTCCATCAACATTTTATTTTTAGTCTGGTGCATGAGCTGTGCACCACCTAGCTTGTATAGCAAATGCCACCACTGTAAGTTATCTCCATGTTTTTATTAGTACTAGGTGCAGTGTAATCTAGTTTCAGGTCAGTATGCTACCCATATGCTACCCATGGCACTGGATACTATTATTATAAAATATTCAAGAGTAGTATCATCACTGTTCATGTATGTTCATGTAATTATTAGATATAAGTAAACCTCTATTAACCTGGTATGCCATCAGTTCATTAACAAAGGAATTAGATGATATAAACTAGATGGATTATGTAACTATGAAGGAAAATCTAGATCAATGCAGATCCATATACTCATCCCCAGCCAGCCATCTTCAGTTGTAATTGTAAATGTATGATTATGCCACCCAGCTCCATGAATACGATCTCTTTCAGCTGAGAAATCAGCAAAATAATGTCATGTAAGGGGCTCAGATTACAATGTGGGGGCAGAGGTTAGGTCTAGGCCAGTTATACTTACAAGAATGTACACAGATCATTTGCAGCAAAGAAGGAATTCTGCATTTTTCACTCAAGAAGGCAGAAGTTGCTGTGGGCTTATATTTGGAAACCTCTTACAGACTTAAAGTGGAACTTCACTCGCTCAATAAACATGGACTATTTATAATTCTTATACTGCTAGCATTAGTAAATAGATAGAAAAGTATACTATATGTACTTGTTTTAACCTTTTTTATGCATTCCTTCAGTTACTTCCTGGTTTCCATGGCTAGGCAAATGAGGTCATTCATCCCAGTAGTCTTTAAGAGGGGAGAGAGGGTTCTCAGCTCAGCCAATGCCTGAGCTAAAGACAGATGGATTCCAGGAAGTAACTGCTACATGAATCATCTGCCCTTACTTAAGATGGCCACTGCCAAAAATGCCGGAGGGTGTTTTTTAAAATGATTTCTCAGCAAAATAATGCATGGAGATATGGATGGATGGAGGATTTCATTTGAATATTAAAAATGAATTATATTGCATTTTTGGTTTGTGGTAACAAATGCAGTGCAGTTTCACTTTAATTATTTAGGACACGCGTATACAAGAGTTTTCAAACCAGAATTACTAGAGCCAGGAATTGCTGACAAATATGTACTGTGCCTGTGTAGGAACTGGTTTCAGCTAAACATAATATAACAAGCTGAAAATGAACATTACACAGGCATAAGCAATAAAGAAAATGTTTGATAATGTGGAAGCAACTCATAGAATCTCCATTTATAGCAAATAACTAGATCTAGTTTGCTGCAGGCAGGTCAGTGAAAAATAAATTGTGACTATCTGCTATGAGTTACTGCACTTTATTGCTTTGTTTAAGTGATTTGTTTAAAATAAAATAGCAGGAGACAAATGACAGCCTAACACTTTCACATATCTGTAGCCATCACAACATACCTAGATTTTAAGGTAAAAGCTTGCTCACCTCTCTGGTCTGAAAACACACAGCTTCAAGAGCAGCAAATGCTATGTGGTTCTTGTTTGTGAACTGAGTAAGACCACAGATGATTCTATATACATGGAAACAAAAACAGGCAATCAGGTAAAGCATTCAAAACAAAGGCTGGCTCATAGACATTAGAGGGTAGCTGCACATAAAGAAACAACCTGACCACCAGCACGCCATAAACTTTTATGTTGGTGTTGGACAAGTATATAGATTTAGATCAGTGCACAGGGGAGGTAGAGGACACTGCTCATCACTGGCTTATCATGGGTGCTTAAAAGGTTTTCTAACACCCATAGACATGAGACTGGCCAAAAACACACTGGATTGAGGGACTCATCTCATAGCTGTAACTAATATTGTGACTTTATGGTAGTGTACAAACAATATGCACATGGGTCTTTGACTAAAACAGAATTTGTAGTTTAATAAGAATAGCTGTGATTTTGTAATTCAACTAGTGTTTTAAAACACTAAAAATATATACAAGTGAGCACTTCTGAAAACAAGCTGCTTGCACCAAAAAAAAAGTGACACACCAACCTTATAAACAGAAAAAAAAGAAGATGAGTGCAGTGCCAACATCATAAAATTATCTTAAATATAAAAAAAATCAACAATACATAATATGTGTGCAAAGCAAATCACTCCCAATCACATATGAATCGATATTCAAATATTGATCAAAAAGTGATAACAAAATAAATGAAATGAAAAAGTCCAATCAAAACAGTGTATATCCAACTGCAGAGAATTATTTATATATATATATATATATATATATATATATATATATATATATATATATATAAAAACAAATATATACAGCCAGGTCCATAAATATTGGGACATCGACACAATTCTAACATTTTTGGCTCTATGCACCACCACAATGGATTTGAAATGAAACGAACAAGATGTGCTTTAACTGCAGACTGTCAGCTTTAATTTGAGGGTGTTTACAGCCAAATCAGGTGAACGGTGTAGGAATTACAACCGTTTGCATATGTGCCTCCCACTTGTTAAGGGACCAAAAGTAATGGGACAATTGGCTTCTCAGCTGTTTCATGGCCAGGTGTGTGTTTTATTCCCTCATTATCCCAATTACAATGAGCAGATAAAAGGTCCAGAGTTCATTTCAAGTGTTCCATTTGCATTTGGAATCTGTTGCTGTGAACTCTCAAGATGAGATCCAAAGAGCTGTCACTATCAGTGAAGCAAGCCATCATTAGGCTGAAAAAACAAAACAAACCCATCAGGAAGATAGCAAAAACATTAGGCGTGGCCAAAACAACTGTTTGGAACATTCTTAAAAAGAAGGAATGCACCAGTGAGCTCAGCAACACCAAAAGACCTGGAAGACCGCAGAAAACAATTGTGGTGGATGACCGAAGAATTCTTTCCCTGGTGAAGAAAACACCCTTCACAACAGTTGGCCAGATCAAGAACACTCTCCAGGAGGTAGGTGTATGTGTGTCAAAGTCAACAATCAAGAGAAGACTTCACCAGAGTGAATACAGAGGGTTCACCACAAGATGTAAACCATTGGTGAGCCTCAAAAACAGGAAGGCCAGATTAGAGTTTGCCAAACGCAAATTCTGAAATCTGAAGTGTTTCGGGCAATATTATCTGCTCATATTCAGCCAAATGCTTCAGAACTCATTGGACGCCGCTTCACAGTGCAAAAGCAACCAAAATTTTTTAAGGAAAAGAAGTGGAATGTTATGCAATGGCCAAGTCAATCACCTGACCTGAATATGATTGTGCATGCATTTCACTTGCTGAAGACAAAACTAAAGGGAAAATGCCCCAAGAACAAGCAAGAACTGAAGACAGTTGCAGTAGAGGCCTGGCAGAGCATCACCAGGGATGAAACCCAGCGTCTGGTGATGTCTATGCATTCCAGACTTCAGGCTGTAATTGACTGCAAAGGATTTGCAACCAAGTATTAAAAAGTGAAAGTTTGATTTATGATTATTATTCTGCCCCATTACTTTTGGTCCCTTAACAAGTGGGAGGCACATATGCAAACTGTTGTAATTCCTACACCGTTCACCTGATTTGGATGTAAATACCCTCAAAATAAAGCTGACAGTCTGCAGTTAAAGCACATCTTGTTCATTTCATTTCAAATCCATTGTGGTGGTGTATAGAGCCAAAAATGTTAGAATTGTGTCGATGTCCCAATATTTATGGACCTGACTGTATATATAGATAGATATATAGATAGGTAGATAGATATCTTCAGTCGGATATACACGGTTTTGATTATACTTTTTCATTTCATTTATTTGTGATCACTTTTTGATCAATATTTGAATATCGGTTCATATGTGATTGGGAGTGTTTTAAAACAGTCAGTATATGCAAACTCTACGTATATTCCCAACATATTGGTTAAAGACCTCAAAGTTAAATCTGTTTTCTACTTTACCTGCAGATACATCCAATCTATATTAAACATATTTATAACCTAAATATAATAGTAATATGTCCTGCAAAGTCAAGGTTTTCATGCTATCACTCAATATAACTGAGGCTGCTGCGCAGTGCTTACAGTGTCCCCTGCACATCACTGGGGGTGAACTCAGCAAAAAAGAGCATGGCTTCTTTTCTAAAGTTCAGCTGAGGAACTCCTCAAAATCAAGATTCTGTTTTGGGAGTTACTTTGTACTAGCAGTACATGCTAGGCTAGAGGCAATGTAAAGTTAATCTTGCATCTTCATCTAATAAATATGTTTACAAAGAATTTCTTGCACTTTTGCAAGCATCAGAAATAAAAACACAATAAAATGGAACCTAAAGTCTTCAATATCAATATGGCACCCCAGAACAGCTGTCCTCAGGAGGCTAAGGCTGGCCATACATTATATAATTTTCTTGAGAATTTTACTTTAGATTTACCAAAAACCATATAATAGGAGGTCAAACATAAACAACATGTTCAATTGTATCCAATTAGGCAGGCCCTTGCACTACATAGCTGAAGGTAAATCTAAAGAAAATTGGGCAGATGTAATATTAATTTTTAATATCCAAACTTTAATTCGGTCTTTAGTAGTTCTGAAATATATGCTGGCAGAAAATACCCTCTTAATTGGATGTGAATGTGAGGTTTTGCATTTCAGTGGTCAGATGTGAATTATTTGTGTCTGAGCTAAAGGTAATCAGCAGAGGTTTAAATTCATGTTTTCTTTTAAAATACTCTATGTAACAGTATACCATATTGTGAATTCTTATAATGAGTCAGAGTTTAAATTGTAGTCATAAATCATGGATTTCGACAGTTGTATGTAACATAAGAACTTCAGAGATCTCTTTCAGAGCCTGTATGTCAATCATGATAATGACTTGGTGGTTTGAATAGGAACACATGTCTTTAGTTAAGCTGGGAGTGATTATGGGAGTGTTTTAAGGAGCCCGCGAATTTGAAACAAAGCTTAATGGGAGGACCTAATTTCTCATGCATTTTAAGTATGCAGCTTTTCAAAGAACGAGGGTCAGTTTCTCCTACCTTCTATACACTTCACTTCATTCAGACATACCTACACTTCAGACACTTACACAAAGAAAGCACATGGTAAGAGGTTAACAAAGAAAGACACTAGGCCTGAAAATCTTCTATTTAAGCTTTTCAAAGGAACTACATTTTCTTCTAATATTCAAGGAACAAGCAACTTATATTCTTTATTTTTATTTCATTTTAAGCTACATATATCTGAATTTACTGTTTTTTATTGACTTTGTATTTTTGGTGTGTGATCAAATAAAGTCACACTGCTTATACTGAACTGGCTTCCATAAGGATTTCTTCCCACAACCATCTACAAGCTAGAAATATTAATAGAGTTTTTTCATAACTCTGGAAATCTAACAGCAGACAATTGTATAGTGTATGGCCAGCCTAAGACACAAGTGAAATTAAAACAATCAAGCAGGCTTGCTCCTCCCCCTGCCAGAGTTTCTATATCATCAGGAAAAAATCCCATATTCATACATGTATTGGAACCAGGGGTGGACTGACTATTTGGAAACTCGGGCACTGCCCGAAGGCCCGGGGTCAGTAGAAGGCCCCATGAGATGCCCCTGGTACCTTTTTCATAGGCTTTTTTGAGTTTGGGCAAGAACACAGGGGCCCCATGATCCCCTATTGCCCGGGGGCCCCATGAGTTGTTAGTCCGCCCCTGATTGGAAGATGCATGTTTTCGTTTTTTTTTTTTTAAAAAAAAAAAAAAAAAAAAACTACAAAGCAAAAAAAAAATTAAAGTTTTTTTTTTTATTTTGGGAATGGAAATCCCTTGCCTTGCAGACTGACTTGGTCCTGCTAAGAAAATGAGAAGTTGCCTGTAGTGATTAGCATTTTCTATAACTAGGCCTGTATTTCTGTTACACTATGTAAATGCATGGAAATACACATACAGTCATGGCCAAAAATAATGGCACCCCTGCGTTTCTGTCAGATAATGCACCACTTTGCCCAGAAAGTTGTTGCAATTACAAACGTTTAGGCATTATTATTATTATTTTATTATTATACAGTATTTATAAAGCGCCAATAGTTCGCTCAGCGCTGTACATTACAAAGGGAGACAGAACATGTGACAGAACAATACCAATACAATGCAAAACATGAGGGATCGAGGGCCCTGCTCTTTCGAGCTTACAATCTAGGAGGGAGGGGGTGGTGGCACAGGAGGAGATAGCTGTGGGGGATGGAGTGGTAGGAAGAGTGGAGGAGGTCGGCAAGTTAGCAGGGGGTGGGGTAGGCTTCCCTGAAGAGATGGGTTTTCAGGGTGCGCCTAAAGGAGAGGAGAGTAGGTGATAATCTGATGGGTTGGGGCAGGGAGTTCCAGAGGATGGGTGACACCCTGGAGAAGTCCTGGAGGCGGGCATGGGAGGAGGAGACCAGGGAACTAGAGAGAAGGAGGTCTTGTGAGGAGCGGAGTGTGCGTGTTGGGCGGTACTTGGATATTAGGTCAGAGATGTAGTACGGGGCAGTATGGTGGACAGCTTTGTACGTCAGCGTTAGGATTTTGAATTTGATCCGTTGCGCAATCGGAAGCCAGTGGAGAGATTGGCAGAGGGGGGTGGCGGAGACAGAGCGGTTGAAAGGTGAATGAGTCTGGCAGCCGTGTTCAGGATGGACTGAAGAGGGGATAGCCAGCGGCAAGGCAGGCCAGTGAGGAGGGAGTTGCAGTAGTCGAGTCGTGATATGATGAGGGAGTGGATGAGCTGTTTAGTGGTTTCTGGGGTTAGGAACGTGTGGATTTTGGCGATGTTGCGGAGGTGGAGTCTGCACGAGTTTGTTAAAGATTGGACTTGGGGCTGGAAGGATAGGTTGGAGTCCAGAATGACACCCAGTACTCTGGCCTGCGGGGCGGGTTTGATGGTAGCGTTGTTGGATGTGATGGAGAAATCAATGGGGGGTGGTGTCCGGGCTGGGGGGAAGACAAGAAACTCGGTTTTGGAGAGGTTCAATTTTAAGGAAGTGGAGCGACATCCAGTCTGATATGTCGCTCAGTAGGTGTGTGATTCGGGCTGAGACCAAGGGGGTGAGGTGGGGGGTTGAGAGATAGATTTGTGTGTCGTCGGCATAGAGGTGGTAGTTGAAGCCGTGAGAGTGTATGAGTTGGCCAAGGGAGGAGGTATAGATGGAGAAGAGAAGGGGCCGAGGACAGAGCCTTGAGGGACCCCAACAGAGAGGGGGAGTGAGGGGGGAGGTGGTCGTAGCATTATAGGTAACGCTGAAGGAGCGTTGTGACAGGTAGGATGAGAGCCAAGAGAGAGCAGAATCTCTGAGGCCGAGGGAGTGTAGTTTTTTGAGGAGGAGGGGGTGGTCGACTGTGTCGAAGGCCGCAGAGAGGTCAAGGAGTAGGAGCACTGAATAGTGGCCATTAGCTTTGGTGGTTAGCAGGTCGTTGGAGAGTTTGAGTAAGGCAGTTTCGGTGGAGTGTAGGGGACGGAAGCCGGACTGCATTATCATGTTTATTTCTGTTTGTATTGGTAGGACACAAAAAAGTGACGAAGCAAAAAGCAAGATCTGACACTTTCCACGCAAACCCCCCCAAAAATGGACTGGACAAAATTATTGGCGCCCTCAATTTAATAATTTTTAGCACACCCTTTGGAAAAAATAACTGAAATCAGTCACTTCCTGTAACTATCAATAAGTTTCTTACACCTCTCTATTGGAATTTTGGAGCACTCTTCTTTCACCAACTGGTCCAGGTCTCTCAGATTGGAAGGGTTCCTTTTCCCATCTGCTGTTTTGAGATCTCTCCACAGGCGATATATGGGACTGAGATCTGGAATCATTGCTGGCCAGTTTAGTACTCTCCAGCGCTTTCTCTGAAACCATTTCTGGGTGCTTTTTGACATTGTCATTGTCCTGCTGTAAGATCCATGGCCTCAGACAGAGACCCAACTTTCTGACACTGGACCCTACACTGCACCCCAGAATTCTTTGGTAGTCTTCAGATTTCATAATGCCATACACACAGTCAAAACATCCAGTGCCTGAAGCAGCAAAGCAACCCCAAAACATCAGTGAACCTCCACAATGTTTGACTGCAGGGACTGTATTCTTTTCTTTAAAGTCCTCATTGCTTTTTCTGGAAACAGTAGAATGATGGGCTTTACCAAAAAGCAGTAATTTCGTTTCTTCTCTCCACGGCACATTCTCCCAAAAAGGATTTCACCTTCCTCAGGTAAGTTTTGGCAAACTCCAATGTGGCTCTTATGTTTCTGTGTCAAAAGTGGTGTCCTCTTGGGTTTCCTACCATAGCGTCCCTTTTCATTCAGATGGCGACCTATAGTGCGAGCTCACACAGTTATACCCTGTGCCTGAAGGTCAGCTTGAATTTGTTTGGAAGTTGATCGAAGGTTCTTTATCCACCATTCAAACAATCTTTGATCAATTTTTCTCTTTCATCCATGTCCAGGGAGAATAGCAACAGTGCCATGGACTGTAAACTTCTTGAGAATGTTGCAAACAGTGGACACAGGAAATTAAGTGTGATTTCAATATTGTCAGCACACCTGTTACTTGATACAGGTGAGTTAAACTACAAACTACAAGAGCATCACAAACATGGAATGCAATTATTTCTTACAATTTTGAGAAGGTGCCAATAATTTTGTCCAGTCCATTTTTGGGGGTTATGCATGGAATGTGTCAGATTTGGCTTTTTGTTTCTCCACTTTTTTGTGTCATACTAATACAAACAAAAGAAATAAACATGAGAATGCCTAAACATTGTAATTGCAACAATTTTCTGACGCATTATCGGACAGGAATACAGGGGAGCCAATATTTTTGGCCATGACTGTATATGTGTCTTTATTAAGCAGTGTGGGAAGGATTTTTCTATCACATGGTAAGGACATACCCTCTGGCACTTGGTTCCCAATACGGTGCATACAGGCCCGAGAATGCTGGAACAAAGTAGCAGCCATATGATGTACCAGCTTCAGCAGCAAGTCTCTCTAAGAAACAAAACACATATACATGAGTTAAAATGTCAAATCTACTTGACGTCCTACTAACTTGTATAAAAGTTTTCTGATATTCTTACCTACTTCCTCTGTTGTCTTAACAATGCCAAGGTTATCTCTTAGCCACCGTACCACAGCTCCTGCTATGGCAACTGAACCCTAAAAAATTAACAAAACACGGGTAAATAATAAAATGTAGGTCCATCAAACTGTTTTTGGACACTGGTTGGGTAATTCTCCCAGATCTAAATTTCTTGGTCTTGCTAGCAAAAAAAGGTGCCCATACATCAACATGCTGGACAGCACCTCTTTTTTCTCAGCTGCAAGCAGCATGATCTGCAAGGGACTTGGCAGTCCAGAGTGACTGCAAAATCGAAAAGATATGAGTTCTTCGTGTAGCTTCCCATAGGGACTGAAGCAAATAGGAGTGGATCTATATGAACTGCCCAAACTATCTTTATACCACCTGTTCAATCAATTTAAACCTATCAGATACATAAAAAGCCTGAAAGTGGAATTCCAGTTAAAAATTAAATCTTGGTTTGTACGTATAAAAATGAAAATGTTTATATTTTGCATCTTTGTAATTGCTGATTGGATTTATGTTTCTAATCAATCTAGACAATCCGCAATCCTCCTGATCTTCACCAACCTGTGGTGTAACCTGCGCAGCCAAATTTGTCTGCTCACAGTCATTTTCTGCAACCTTTGTTGGCATCTGTGTAAGAATCACAGCACAGTTCGGTCCCCACCCCTGTCCCATCCGGCCCCCACAAGCACCATCTGTAATGTCCTATACTCCAACAGGAGTGTGCTTCCGCTCTTCCTATCCTCCTAGCCTTGGCTTGCAGGTGCGACAGATAGCTGTAAGAGTGCCTCTAATGAAATATATTTTACACCTTGTGCACTTATCAAGAAATAGTAAGGTGTAAGTGACTGCAAGGAGTTACTGAAAGCAAGTCTTTCCTTTCACTTTAAAGAGGAGTTCCTAGAAATGCTGTAGCTGCTGACTTTTAAAAATAGGGCACCTACCTGTCCAGGCATCCAGCGGTGTCCTCACTTGACCCGATTCTTTGATTGGCTATCAGGTGCTGGCACCGCCATCTTCACTAAGGGAAACTGGCAGTGAAGCCTTACGGCTTCACAGCCGGCTTCCTATTGCGCATGTGCAAAGCGCGCTGTGATTTGTGAATGGGTCGCAGTCTTCTGGGACCTGTGGAGTGTCCCAGAAGGGGGAAGGAGGGGTGGGCCATACGTCCAGGTCTGTTTACAATCTGAGCTGAAAATAGTAGCGGGAGCCTGTCAAAACCAGGTACCTGCTCCTCCCTTCCCCCAAAAGGTGCCAAATGTGGCAGCAGAGGGGTGGGGAGTCAGAAAAGTGGAGCTTCCCCTTTTGGGTGGAACTCCGCTTTAAGTGACCAGATAATTATCTTTAAAAAGAGCATAAAATGGAACTTCTCTACAATAACTGATCCCGTATTGAGGCAACCATCTCTTGAAGTTGTTGTTCCCTATTGACAAATAAATATATATCCCTATTGGCAAATAAATTCACATATCTAACCGTATAGTGAAACTTACATGTACATTTGTTACATGTGAATTTACCAGCATTTGTGCATTACTTTTACTTGAGGTGATTGTAGCCGTATTAGTGCACTTGCGACAGAAACAATTGACTACTGACGTGATACTTTTTTTATTTGCACTAACATACAATTTTGAGGACAAGCTTTTGGGGTATGTCCCCTTCTTCAAGGTCCAAGCAGTACTATTACAACGTTTTGACTGGGGGGGGGGGGGGGAGAACAACACTCACAGAGGGAGTCATAAAAATGTTGGATAATGACTGAGGAATCCCATGTCCAAATTAAGGCCCTTATCTCTTGTGTCAAATAGAATTATCATTCTTCGTTCAAAAGTTTTTCTTTCCTGAATAGATTTGAAATTTCCTTTAAAGAACTAAAACATTGAGGTCTTCCATAGCGTGGTTCGGTTGTGCGAAATGGTGTCCCACAGGTTTGCAAAAGTCATCTTCTTCATGTTACTTGATGGTATGTCTGTGCAAATTCATCCTTGTTTGCAACTTCTATCCTGTTTCGCCAACATAAGATCCTTTGTTACATTTTCTGCACTGGATAAGGTAGACAACATTACTGGAGGTGCAGCTGTATGATCCGGAGATATTGAAGATCCCTTTTGAGTGTCTGACACTTTTTGATAGATGGATTTGGTTGCACAGTTTGCAGCGTTTTTTATTGCAGGGTTTGCTTCCATTATTTGTGACCTCATAATCAGAAGGAAGTTTCCTACTGATTAGTTTATTTCTGAGGTTGGAGGGTTGTCTGAAGGCCAGTATTGGTGGTTGCTGGAATATTTCTTTCAGAGTTCCATCTCCTGTTATGATGGGTTGTAAATCTTTGATTATTTTTCTTATTCCTTCTAGGGCTGGGTTGTATGTGGTTACTAGAGGTACACGGTTGTTTGTTTTTTTCTCTTTGTACTGAAGTAGATTTTCCCTTTGGGTTCTCAAGGCTGTGTTTATGCCGGTGTTGATAGTTTTTTCCTTGTAACCTTTCTTATGGAAGGAGTCTGCTAGTGTCCCGAGATGTGTATCTTTGTCTCTTGGGTCAGAACATATTCGGTGGTATCTAATGACCTGACTGTGTATGATGGCATGTTTCGTGTGTTGGGGGTGGAAGCTAGAACTGTGGAGGTAGTTGCATCTGTCAGTGGGTTTCCTGTATATTGAGGTGTGAAGTGTATCTTTCCTGATGTATACTGTGGTGCCTAGGAAGTTGACGTGTGTGTGTTTGAGTATTCAATTTTTAGTTTGATTGATGGATGAAAAGTGTTGATCAATGAGTAAAATTTTTTTTAGGTATTCTTCACCTTCTGTCCATATGATGAAAATATCATCAATATAGCAATAGTATCTGTATGACTTTTGTTCCATGCTGTTCAGGAATTTTTCCTCCAGGTCAGCCATAAATAAATTGGCATATGGGGGTGCCATTTTACTTCCCATCGCAGTACCCATACATTGAAGAAAGATGTCTTTATTGAAAGGAAAGTAAAGTAGTTGTGTGTAAGTATGAATTCAATGAGCCATGTAACATCCTCAGCAGTGTATTTATGGTATTTATGGTTTGGTGAGGATAAGGATCTGTGACATGCAGCTAATCCATCCTTGTGAGGGATATTACTATACAGGGACACTACATCCATAGTCACTAGAAGTGTATTAGATGGTAATTGCTGTATGTTGTTGATCTTGTTCAGAAAGTCAGTTGTGTCTTGCAGGAAACTAGCAGTATTCTTGACTAACGGTTTTAAATTTTTTTCTACAAAGCCTGTTTTGATTTGGATTTGATCGGTGTGTGTGTTCATACCTGTTATGATGGGTCTGCCTGGATTTCCTGGCTTGTGGACTTTGGGCAGCATGTAGAAGTCCCCGATTTCTGGATGATCAGGAATCGCATTTATAAGTCCTGAATGTAGGTGGGCTGGAAGTGTTTTAATGAGGCCTTTTAATTGCTTTGTACAGTCCTGGGTCGGATCATAATCCAGTTGCTTATAGTAGATGGCATTTTCCAGCTGCCTCTGGCCTTCTTGTATGTATTTGTTTGTATCCATCACAACAACTGCTCCCCCTTTATTCGCTGGTTTGATGGTTCTAGCTTCCACAGGACAGTTCTAGCTTCCACCCCCAACACACGAAACAAGCCATCATACACAGTCAGGCCATTAGATACCACCGAATATGTTCTGACCCAAGAGACAGAGATACACATCTTGGGACACTAGCAGACCCCTTTCATTAAGAAAGGTTACAAGGACCCCCCCCCAGTCTTTGCTTTTGCTTTGCTGTGTCTTATCTCTAGGCTAACCCTAGGCTTGTGTTTCTTTCTGCTTTTATTTTTTTTTTTTTCTCATCGACCACATCTCTTCTAACATTCTGCTAAAACATTGTAATAGTACTGTTTGGACCTTGAAGAAGGGGACATACCCCGAAAGCTTGTCCTCAAAATTGTATGTTAGTGCAAATAAATAAGTATCACGTCAGTACTCAATTGTTTCTGCATTACTTTTAGGAATTTTCACACAATATTTAAAGTTGTGGCTGTTCTGTGAAGTGGGATAAATGGGATGTTCATTGGTTCCAAGTGAACATTGCTGTTGGACAAATGGTGCAATGGTTTGTTTTAATGTAAATATCTGCTCATCCGTAAATGGAAAACAAATGCTGACAATGTTCTTAGGGTTGTTTCTCTTCTGATTGGGAATTCATATCCTAGTTTTTTTTGGAATGGAAATATATTCCTAGAATATGCTGCATCAAGTACTGCTTTTTATTCATAAAAAACATTCAATAATGTGTCATAGTTACACATTCTAATAACATTTGATTTGACAACAATGAAATAAAATTTGCCAATAAATAATACATATAATGAAGTAGCTCTGCTCATCCTCTTCTGCCAGAGTTTCCAAACCAAGTTTAAATCCCATATTGCTACATGTAAAAGAACCTACACCGTTTCCTTTTATTTCGGGCCTGTATACACCCAATACTGTGCACTCTGGCCCAGAAAAAAAATCTATACAACAACATGTATGACAGTTAACCCATTCTAAAAACATTTGATTTGACAATGATGAAACAAACAGGATTTGCCAAATGTTACATTTGGTTTGCGAAACACAACATAAAATAACAGAATAACAATTCAAACATTTTGCAAGGGTTTATATCATCACTTTTACATGAATGTTGATACAATTGCAAAACAAATTTTTATTAACAGACTCCGATGTGTACAATCAATGACTTATTTAAAGCCCAAGTGTAGCCAAAATAATAAGCACAAAAATCAGTACAATTGACAAGTCTTAATATTCATGCACCTTGTCCCATGTACAGCTAGCTCCTGGTTCCCAATAAAAGTTCCCTCCATTCCCCCCCACACTGCCATAATCTTCCAGTGCAGCGGGGATTAATAGAACTGAGGGAGCTGTCCTTTGCACTCATCTAGAGATCAAGAGTGCCCAACTATGCCTGCCCATTCCATCCAGCCCCTCCATTCATAGAAGCTGTGCTGCAGCTTCTATGAAAGAGACAGGTCTATGAAGGATTGGCAGATAATTGAAAGGTCTGCTCCTCCATTCATAGATCAAGTTTCATCCATAGAAACTGTATTTGCATTAATGGAGTAGCTGGGAGGAAAGGGCAGGCATAGTCGGGCACTTTTGATGAGTGCAAACAGCTCCTTCAGTGCTATTAACAACCGCCTCACTGGAAGATTTTGGCAGTGGTGGTTAGGGGAAAGGAGGGGCGGGGGGAGGGAAGAGGAAGGGTCAATGGAGGAAAGTTTCAAGGAAACCAGGAACGAGGAGCAGGAAGGAACAGCACATTAACAGTAAGTCGTGTCCCTTGTGCTGATTTTTGACTACGCTTGGCTTTTAACATTTGCACATTTATTGTAAAAAGACTTAGAAAATCAAAAAACTTACTTCAAGGGCATAACAAGCAGGCTTGTCTCTGCCAAGCTTGTAAGCCACAGTGGTCAACAAACCATGATCAGACAGAACAGGCTGTAAGATACAACACAATATTAGTATAAACACATTGCACACTAGAAGAACAAACAGTGAAGAAGCAAAAAGCCAAACAGTTGCAAGGTGTCATACAAGTGGATCAATTCTCTGAGGTCATGTTAACAGTCTTCTTGGAGTGGTTAAATAAACACGAACAGAAAAGCTCAAATACTTGCCTTCTGTAGAGATAATAGTTTGTCAGTGTCCTTTAAGTGCTTGCCACAAATGTGAAGGTGTAGGTATTTGGTCATATGATCTCTACAGAAAGGTAGGATGTCTGCTTAGCACATGGATAGCTAAAGAGACACATGCAAGGTGCCAGGGACTGCAGCCTTGGGACCCCCAGCTTCAGGAGGAAAAAAACATTTCAGAAGAACAGGACTACACATAATTGGTATGTGTGAACTTACCCTTCTGAAATAAAAACAAGCAAAAAGGGTTTAGAATCGTTTCATATTCCTCACCTTTGGCCCTGTATTACACAGCAAGAAACAACCAGTACCATATCTGCAGGGAAAAAAAAATTGATTAAGAAAAAAATGCGCCTATTGAATAATACTAGCGATTTCACTTCGTGATTGATGATATTGTTCTCAGAGTCAAGACTGAACCAGGAAAAAAGGTGACAAATATAGGAAAAGGTCAACAGCTACAGTAGGTTCACTACACTATAGCATAGAGCTTTTGGAACACAAATTCCAAAATTACAACTTAATACCATGCAAATTGTTCACTACTAGCTCTTCTTCTGTACTACATGGGGTACACAATTTTTTTTGTATTGCATTATATATATTTTTCAACCAACACTATTTGTTGGTTGACATTTTATTGATGCCTTACAGGTGAAACTCGAAAAATTAGAATATCGTGCAAAAGTTCATTTATTTCAGTAATGCAACTTAAAAGGTGAAACTAATATATGAGATAGACTCATTACATGCAAAGCAAGATAGTTCAAGCTGTGATTTGTCATAATTGTGATGATTATGGCTTACAGCTCATGAAAACCCCAAATCCACAATCTCAGAAAATGAGAATATTTTGAAAAGGTGCAATATTCTAGGCTCAAAGTGTCCCACTCTAATCAGCTGATTAAGCCATAACACCTGCAAAGGGTTCCTGAGCCTTTAAATGGTCTCTCAGTCTGGTTCAGTAGGAATCATAATCATGGGAAAGACTGCTGACCTGACAGTTGTGCAGAAAACCATCATTGACACCCTCTATAAGGAGGGAAAGCCTCAAAATGTAATTGCAAAAGAAGTTGGACATTCCCAAAGTGCTGTATCAAAGCACATTAATAGCAAGTTATGTGGAAGGGAAAAGTGTGGAAGAAAAAGGTGCACAAGCAGCAGGGATGATTGGCATTGCCAAGAGAAAGATGAGAGACATGAGACCGAACAATGCAGAAGAAGAGCTGAAGGCCGCTATTGAAGCATCCTGGTCTTCCATAACACCTCAGCAGTGCCACAGGCTGATAGCTTCCATGCCATGCCGCATTGAGGCAGTAATTGCTGCAAAAGGGGCCCAAACCAAGTACTGAGTGCATATGCATGCTTATACTTTTCAGAGGTTCGATATTGTTCTATGTACAATCCTTGTTTTATTGATTGCACGTAATATTCTAATTTTCTGAGATTGTGGATTTGGGGTTTTCATGAGCTGTAAGCCATAATCATCACAATTATGACAAATCACGGCTTGAACTATCTTGCTGTGCATGTAATGAGTCTATCTCATATATTAGTTTCACCTTTTAAGTTTCATTACTGAAATAAATGAACTTTTGCACGATATTCTAATTTTTTGAGTTTCACCTTTATATGTATTCCTTCTTACAGATTGCTAATTTGATTTTCTTTGGCATCTGCCATGTATTTGTCTTAAAAGAATAAGTTCAAGTCTGCTTTATTGTTCAGTTTGGTTGTTGGGTCCTACTTTTTAATTTTATATACATCTAAATTTTAACAAACCATGTCCTTGTGGGACATTTTCACTCTCAGGATTTCTGTTGGCAAGAGAGTAGAAACCACAGTTCTGTCCAGTTACCACAGCTGTCACAAAGACGAACATGTCTTACTTTCTGAACTAAAATAATTGACTAATTAGTGGTGTAAGAGAGTGATACCTTTGTGAAGCCCTGATGGATAGATATAAAATGTCTCTGAAACCTACAGTAAATAGGAAGCTTGTTGATTCCATATTGGTGCCAACAAAAACCTAAAATATTGGTTCTGGGTGCAATCGGCCTTTCCACTCACGTATTTTTTGCTTGTCCATCTTGAAAGCACATTTGTCCAACCAGTGCAGCAGATTGGTCACCTAGACACTGTGGGGGGAAAACAGTTGTTTATATAATTTATAAATGATAGTACCCATTATATTAAGAAACGTATCAAGTGAGAATATGCCAGTACATGTATATTCTAGCTGTCCAGTTGTCCTGCTGATCCTACACTGATTTATACCTGTTCTGGGTCAGGGAATCATTGTATTCAGAGTGAACCTGTATATTGTTTGGGATCAGTAACCAAAAGTACTGAAGTAAGAGGATGAGCATAATCTCTGATCAGGTTTTCTTTGTAAGCATTCTAATGTGTTCGTTAAAATATTTAGTGTCCACACACTCTAGCCAGTCATTTCCACATATATTCTATCTATCTACAGTATACACATACATACATATATACATACATACATCCACACTTCATGCCAATCACAGTACCAGTACCCACATAGGAGGAAGCTGTTCTGTAAGTTTATTTTGTGAAAAATATTTGAAGAAATATTGGTATAAAGCAAATCTATTTTACTTTATTTCCAAAATGGCAGCATATGATCTGTATATGAAGATCTCATAGGAGTCTTCACCCAGCATCTGCTGTACTGTGTGTGTTCAGGACTACTTCACCCCTGTCAAATCAGGACAGGCTGTTCATACAGCCACTGTGCCTCATACTTTTACAAGAGCTGCCTACATACAGCACCTGGCAGTTCAAGCCACATAAGACCATTCTCAGTCTACGGCCCCTCAGCCAGCGTCCATGTGAATGAGGCCTTAGGAAAAACGTAAATTAAAAGGATCATTAAACAAAATATACAGAAATTACTGAATTAAAGGCTTAGATTTGGTGAACCTAGCATATGGATATGCAATCCCTAATCAAGCAGGAATTGTGTATCTACAGTGTGTATATTAAGCAGCAGTATCATATGATCTCCAATGTTATGCTCCCACAACTTCTAGAAAGAGACTACAAACTTGCACTTTGTTTAGTTGCTCTGAACTGAGCAGGATGGACATCAGGAACTGCTACTGTACATCACTGTGCACAAAACATACTTGAAGGATACAACCATCTCTTTAAGAGGTTAAAATGGTGACAGGTCTTAAGCAAAGTCTATTCAGATGCAGAATGCCATTATCCCTGTGTCTACAATACTGTTGGTATAGTCAACTCACCCCAGATATTGGAACACCAGTCAAGGCTCCAGATTTCTGAAATTGAAAATAAATAAATCAAATCAAACATTAGAGATGAGTTTAAATAGATTTTTATTTTCAGTCTAAAAACAGTGCCGAAAAGGACCACAACTAGCAGCAAGCCAATGTCTCCATATATATGCGACAAGTGTACAGCTGAACGGGACATAGTACTTGTGACTTTGTGTGCATACAATTTTATTGTGAAACCACATAAAGCAACCAAGCACATTTCCAGTTATTGTTTACAGCACATGCCCTGTCCCAGATAACTATGAAGTACTGGAGTAATAAGCCAGGACTTACAATGACCATTGTCACAAAATAGTAACTATACAAGAAACTGATAACAGAAATGCAGCCACCATCTAAGGAATGGTCACATAGGCCATAAAATATCAAAAAGGACATCAAACATTTGTTAACATAAATGAAATGTAGTATAAAAAAAATCGCGAACTACCCAGAATGACAAAATGATTAGATAAATGAAGGTGTAGACTTAAATATATAAGGGGCGCAAAGTCAGAGTAGAATAAAATAGGTCTGTGGTGTTATATTACTGGAATCTATTGCTGCGCTTTAACTGGAAATTGTGTGGTTTGGACTCGAAAGTGCATGTGACATATGACTGGTGAAGAACTCAGCAAGAACCTTTACTCACCAGGCTAGGACAGATTTTCTATGGTAGGCAAAACATAAAAACAAAAAAAGGACAGAAACAGTTCACCACAAAAGGAAAGTTATAGTTTTACCTGCTGCTTACAAAAGGAGAAATTCACTGGGTCAAATGATACTGTAGGTAAAAGTAGATTAGCCTTAGAAAAGCCTTTTGCTAGAACTAACTGCATCAGGGAATAGGTTTTCTTCCAAAGAAGACTTTCCTTTTTTTACCACCTGAAACTGCTGCTCTCATTGTCTTTAGCCACAACTACTGGAATATGATAGGGGCCTTAAAAGTCTTAATTACACACTTTTCAGCTGTGCAAACTAAATCAACCCTTGACAGTATGCAAAATCAGAACAACCTACTTTCACAATAAAAGATATTTGGGACTAAGCATGTAGGACTGCAGACTGCCACAATCATGCCTTCCTAATTTTAGGTATCTGCTGCTTCTCAGTTTGCCGCATAGGTCGCCATTACCATTATCTAATTGAAGCTCAGTAAGATGTGTTGCGGCATTTTTTTAATGTATTAAAACCCTGATTACTAATACTAGATAATTTCCAGCTTCTTTAAAATCTGCCCACTTACTAAGACCATCTAGTGTAATCATCATAACAGCAACGATGCAAGTAATATTTTTATGCTTTGTTTTATATTCACAAAGTTTTACATGTTTGTGGTATAAAACAACAAAAAAACAAGAAAAAAAAGGATTTATTACCATTAGTCCATAGATTTCAGAACTACTTCTCACTTTTGGCAGCAAACTCATGGGAACATCAAAAAACCTAAAAATAAGAAACATAGATAGTGCGTCTTGATATTTATCAGTAGGAAGCCTTGCAAACTTTATACTTTAATAACCAGAATCTCTCATACAAAAAAGAGTTACTGGGGTTACCAGCAAAAAAATAAGGTCATTCTGCACCATAGTTTTAAACAGTTTGGATATATGCAAATACACATCAGTTAACCACAGTTAGAACATCTCTGATTTATTGGCTTCATGCTTTTTTTTTTTTAAAGCACAGCTTCAGCCAAAAATTTTTTTCTTGTTTTGGAAATAGTTTTTATTGCTGGCTGAACCCCAGCTGGGGAATTAACCTAAAGTTTTGTCCTGAGAACCACTGTCAATGGGACAAGAAAGTGAGGGAATCCTACATTTAAACTGGTTCTAAAGGCAGAAGGTTTTTTACCTTCATGCATACTATGAAGGTTAAAAAAAAAAACACCTGGGAGCAGCTTCCCCCTCAGCCCCCTATTATACTTACCTGAGCCCCATCTTGATCCAGTGATGTGCATGAGATCCAAGGCTCTCACAGGACCCTCTCTCATCACTGGCTTGCACAGCAGTGGGAGTAATTGGCTTCTGCTGCTGTCAATAACAGCCAGTGAGTCAATGAGGGGTGCAGTGGGGTGCAGGGCCGAGCTGTGCTCTGTGTGTGAATGGACAGTGTCCATTCACAAGACTGCAGCCCGGAACAGAGCCTGATCAAGTGCCCCCATTACAAGAGGCTTGCTATTGGGGGCACTCGGCAGGGGGGAGGAGCCAGGACCACCAATAGGGGACCGAAAAGAAGAGTAATGTGTTGCTCAGTGCAAAATCATTGCACAGAGCAGGTAAGTATGGCATGTTTCTTTTTTTTTTTTTCTTTTTTAATGTTAACCTTTAGTATCACAGCATAACAACTGCTATTGGACAGTTTTCACCAGAGCAAAAGCAGAAGGATATTATTAAATAAGAACACTTTTTTCAGTGACAATGTTTAGAGCGGACATTTCCTCCCTCTTGGGTGAGATTTCTACTCTCTGTTGTGCCCCTGGGAACAGATAGCAATAAACCCAGACTAGGGTCCTAATGATTCCCTACTTCATCAAAAGTAACAAAAACACTTAACTAAAATCTAATGAAGGGTATTTTATTTGGGGTTACAAGTAAAACAAAACATTCACCTAGAAGAATGGACTGCCAAACAGGACTGCAACATCAGTGGAGAAGTCGGTGTTCATTTTCATGCAGTGCAAATGAAAACACTGTGCAAAGTACCCAATAAAGTACCCAATGTACAATGTACAATGTACAAATACCCAATGCAAAGTCCTCCTAGATTGTAAGCTCGTCCTCCTAGATTGTAAGCTCGTAAGAGTAGGGCCCTCTTACCCCTCGTACGTTGTTTGTTGTTGTTGTACTGTGCCATGTATTGTCCCCCCTATTGTACAGCGCTGAGCAAACCCTTTGGCGCTATATAAACTCTGTAGTAATAATAATAATAAACACTGGATAATCGGAATATAATAAAGAATAAACAGAACACTTACTGGCAGAGCTCTACATCCCACTCCAGAGTGTTGATATTGAACAGCATAGTTCTGCTGGCGTTGGTCGCATCTGTACAGTGCACACCACCATTCTTCCCTCCAGTAAGGCTCTACAGACAGAAGAAGGCAATTAAAAAAGCGAATTCCTATTTAGGCTACCCTCCATTGCACTTTATAAATGACCTGGGACTAAAATGTAATATCCCCTGTAAAAAGGACTGTTGTAACAGGAAAACCTGTTCTCTTCCTAAAGGTTGTAATGGGTTGATATGGGTAGTTGAGTGTTTCAAAAGCCCCACAAAAAATCCATTGCACCAAGAGTAATTCATTCCAGCCTACTAGATCCCTCCCCAACATATCCAACCCTTGTCAATTTCTATATCTGCTATAACATTATAAATCTGGCTCTTCTGTATCCACTAAGCCTCCACAAATATTCCAGACTATAATCAGGCACATTCAGGAAACAAGCCCCACTTCTATTCTCAACATAGATCACGAAATGGTTGTTAGAACCATTTCAGGAGAGACAATTAAAAAAAACAAAGTATAATTGCCTTGAGAAGGAAACATTCAGAGGACTTTAACATACAAATACTGGTCAGATTTATGGTAAGTTTTATTTTGCAGCTTTAGGCTCCTGTCCTTTGTTGTCTGACTCTTTGAATAAACTAGTATATTTGTAAATGCCTAACACACACTGACAATTAGAAATTCAACAGGGTTTATTGAAACAGATTCCATTATGAAAAAGAACTAACCCAGATAATCCAGGAGTCCACAGTTCCAAACATGGCTCTGTCTTCCTCCACCGCATGCCTAATTTCTTCCACGTTGTCCAACAGCCACCGCAGTTTTACTGCACTGAAATAGGTGCTCAGAGGAAGACCAGTTCGATTCTGAAAATAACAGTTCCATTGAGGGTAAAGCCTTCGGTTATTAACTTATTGGTTATTTCTTTTGTATGGTTAATACAATTTCATGTGCGCACTATATCTAAAAGATCCAAGCAAAACATTTTCTTTTAAACACTTGTCTCCTGAAAAAAAGTAATAGGAGGCTTCCTAATGAAGACACAGATGGCACCAAAAACTTGATAGAAATGCCACACTACTAAAAATATCTATTGTTCTGTACAACAGCTGACAAATTGACAGAAAGTGAGGGAAATTAACTCCCCAAATAGAGAGACAGCAATAATAAAATCCCCACCCATTATTAAACTCTACAGAAAAAGTTTTGGCAATGTTTGGGATTTAAGTGATGCATGCCTTTATAAAAAAAGGCAGCTGCTGTTGACTTTAGCAAACCTATGTATAGACTAGTTCATTTGCAAGTAAAATCCAGGGATCAGTTTGCATATGCTGGAAGTGAAATTGAATATAAGATGCAGTGGGTGACAACATAACCGTAAATGAAAAGCAGCTCTTTCTAGACACCTTCAATTACGCGACCATTTGCAAGATATTTATTTAAAGGAAACCTATGATAAGAGGAACATAAAGGCTTTCTTTGTTGATCTCTGCTTGTGAAAATGCATTTTGCCTGGAAGTTATACTAACACTTTTACTTCAGTATGAGTTAATGACTTCCAAATACATTTTACCATGTTCCCCACCTGAATATTTGCTATGACCCAGGGATGCAGAACATATTTAAGCTTAAGGGTTTTCATTACAGCCAAGCACCAAGCAGTTTCAGCATTGGCAGCTCCCATATTTCACAACTGACAGGTCTACAATTTACAAAGATATTCATCAGGTTAAATATCTACAGTGCAACTTCCATCACTGCTCAGAACACAGAAGTAGTAGCTTGAGAACCCAGAAACGTTAATGCAGTAACTCCACAAGACCAGATGTCTCAGTTGAGAGTGGAGTGGGGCAGAGGAGTTTGACAGCCTTCTTTAGGTCTATATAAAAAAAAAAAAAAAAAAAAAAAAAAAAACTGGAAATTTTTCTCCCCAGCTGCACTAATGCGTAATTTACCACAGCATGTAGCACATGACATTGTTTGGGGTAATACATTATATATATTGTTGTTTTTTTTTTGAACTGTGGAATATATTCAGAAGTCACTCTGCAGTATGGTTTGCTTTAAAAAAAAAAAATATATATATATATATATATATATATATATATATATATATATATATATATATATATATATATATATATATTTTTTTTTTTTTTTTTTTTTTTTTTAAGCAAGCCATACTGCATACTGCAGAGTGACTTCTGAATATATTCCACAGTTCAAAAAAGTGTGATTTGCATTTAAAGTACATGCCCACCTTTTCCTGTGTTTAAAGTGGAGTCACACAAAGTAATGAACGAGGTCAGCACTGCCCAGATGTGACATCCAGCGGTGTCTAGCTGTTCTCTGCAATTAGTTAAGCATCCCCTAGATGTCATCATATACAAAAGACAGACACTTCAGCTGAATCTATCAAAAATCCAAAATCAAATTAAGCGGCAAGCCTCAGTGTAGAACATTCTTCGCTAAAACAAAAACCACAACACAGCAGCTGCTAAAATGCACATATTAACCTTTAGTATCACAGCATAACGACTGCTATTGAACAGTTTTTCACCAAAGCAAAAACAGATGGATATAGCCCTTCTTTAAGGCTGGTTACAAACGGTATCAGGAATCATACAGCACCTATGTAAAAATCCCATGCTCACCCAGTGTTACCTGTCCTCCCACGTGGAGAAAAATACCAATGGGAACTACTGTGTCAAAATGAACTTTAATTACTGTTCTAATAATTAGCTTTATTTGTAGGCCAATTGCTTTCCTCTGGCGGATTTGTGCTCTGGCCATACTAATAGGGGCAACACTGAAGCATGAGCACAGTTTAGCATACCTATGACATAGGCTATGCCAAACATACATGTCCTATTTAATTCCTACTTAGCTTGATTACTAGGTGGCAAGCATTGCCTGTACACAGCACTATTATACACAGCAGAGATATCCAGGTTAGCATGCAATTTGGCTTATGTGGAGAAACCTGGTATTGAAAACATTTAGAAACGGTGTAAACCATTTAGTTATTAATCTCTTATTACAGCATTATGTTCAGTTGGAACATATTTTATAAATACATTTGCTATTTTCACTACTAAAGCCAAATTGCTAACAATTGAACCAATCCAGACTCCAGTTGCTTGCAGTTAGTAAAGTTTCCACAAGATGTCAGCATATGCAGTCACATGCTAGATCTGTTTATAAGCAATCACAAAAAAAAAAAAAAGTATGAAAAAAAATTCAGGAAATTCACCATTGACATTCACAGTGAGCATCCCTAATGTGGCCGAAATGTAGCCTTCTAGAATGTGGCATTTAATGTAGCTAGATATTTTAAATTAATTCTTAAGTTAATTCTCAAACTATTCCTCAAAAAAAATCTTTACAAAACTGAGCTCCTAGTTTTCCCCCCAGCCCAGCCCCCCCCCCCCCCCCCCCCCCCTTCTCCATCAAGACCAACAACACCACCATCAGTCCCACCCCTCAAGCCAGAGTACTAGGTGTCATCCTAGACTCCAATCTGTCCTTCCAGCCCCAGGTCCAATTGCTGACAAACTCATGTAGACTTCACCTCCGCGACATCTCCAAAATACGTCCATTCCTAACCCCGGAAACCACTAAGCAACTCATTCACTCCCTCATTATATCACGCCTCGACTACTGTAACTCCCTCCTCATCGGCTTACCCCACCGCAGGCTATCCCCGCTTCAGTCTATCTTGAATGCTGAGGCCAGACTCATCCACCTTACAAACCGCTCTGTAACCGACACCCCCCTCTGCCAATCACTCCACTGGCTTCCGATTGCCCAACAGATAAAATGCAAAATGCTATCATTGACGTATAAAGCGGTTCATAATACTGCCCCAAACTACATCACCAATCTGGTATCCAAATACCACCCAAAATGTACTCTCCGCTCCTCACAAGACCTCCTACTCTCTAGTTCCCTTGTATCCTCCTCCCATGCCCGGTTTCAGGACTTCTCCAGGGCCTCCCCCATTCTCTGGAACTCCCTACCCCAATCCATCAGACTATCACCTAATCTCCTCACCTTTAGGCGCACCCTGAAAACCTATCTCTTCAGGGAAGCCTACCCTGCCCTCAGCTAATTACTGAACTCCGCCACTCCATCCCCCACAGCTATTTCCTCCTGTACCTCCCTCCTAGATTGTAAGCTCCAAGGAGCAGGGCCCTCGAACCCCTCGTGTATTGAATCGTATTGTTACTGTACTGTCTCCCATTATAATGTACAGTGCTGAGCAAACTATTGGCGCTATATAAATCCTGTATAATAATTATTATACAGGATTTATATAGTGCCAACAGTTTGCTCAGAGCTTTACAATAGAACGGGAGACAATACAGCAACAATACAATTCAATACAAGAGGGATAGGAGGGCCCTGCTCCTTGGAGCTTACACGCTATACCTTTTACATGCTTCCATATATGCCCAGGAATTTACTCTGTCAACCAGTCTGGCTGCAATGTATTACAGGTTCTGGTTTGAGGAAGGGATTTATAAAAACAAAAAAACAAAAAACATGCACTGCTCACTCAGTAACAGCCACTTCATGGTCTGTAAATGTAGTCAGAGATCAATGGACAGACACCGTACAGAGCACCGTACAGCCTTTAGAGAATATGTAAACACAACATTTCATATTCCTGATATGTACCTGCTGTACCATGTACGTATATGAAAAAGTATCCTGTTCTCTTTGTATTGCTTCCTTTGTGTGAAATCCCTGGTGTTCCTACAAGTCCCTCTGCTTTTTTCCAATGATCAGACTTCTGCTGACACACCTCCCCTGCACAGCCATTCACTGGGAAGACTAGTGTAATGCTGTTTCTCCTCCCTGAGCTCCTTATTCAGCCAAGAACAAAAGTGAAAAAAAAAAAAAAAAAAAAAAAAAGGTATTTTCTAATGTTTCTTATATCGATACACAAATGTTTTGCATTTCATTTCTATTTTGGGTTGTTTTACAAGGTGAGGGTTTACATATTCTATAATAATGCATGCTATACTGTATGATTATTTGATGCAATTAATTGAATTCCATGCATTATACCTTGGTGTGCGTTAAGGACATAATACATTTACAGCTACAATGGGTGGACTCTTACTGCTGGTGCTCCCCAGGATATCAAAATTGACAGTTGAATCCCACATATTACACAGGGAGCCTTGACTGCACCTATAAATATACAGAGCAGGACCAGCTGTTAAACGGTCAGCCAATTCCAACAAGGCTACTGAGACACAAAACAAGGCTCTATCAGGCTGATCGACTGCAAAATCTGCAGAAAATAATTTGCCCTTTTCATGAGGTAAACTACCTTTCCAGTGAGAACAACACATTTTGGATATTCTAGTAGTACTCTGCTCAAGAAGGGGGAAGAGGGGAAGGCACTTTGCAATCTTAATTCTGAGACGTTTCCCCGTACTATCTGTCAAATTTGAACACAGTGCGGCCATGCGGGGCTCCGCCAACAGAGTTCTGTGAATGAGTGCCTACAAGTCCTGGCAGCCTTAGCGGCTGTGGGATTGTAGTTTTCAATGTACTACCACGGCGCTGTGGAGCACTTTGGTAGTTCATTGAAGCTTCCTGTCAGAATATCTGCTTGTCGTACAGGATGTATGAGCAAGCAGATATACTGACAGCTCTTCAGGAGACCTACATGGCACCAGCGATCTACTGATCACTCGTGCAATGCTTCCAGACAAAATAGATGCACATTTTTTTACCTGCAAAAAAA